AAGACTAAGGCAAAAACTCTTAAGGAGCAGTTTAAAATGAAAGGCTACCCCAACAGATGCCTAAAAAATACATATCAGCGGGCCCTGATGACGGACAGAGAAACTCTCCTTGTAGAGAAACTTGGAAGTGACAACACACAATTGATTAGGTGTATAGGGAAATTTGACGCAGGATGGCACCCAACACTTAAAATTCTCAACAGATTCTGGCCACTTCTTCAACAAGACCACCATCTACAGAAAGCCATTACTCCATATGCATCAGTTACAGCGAGACGTGGTAGAAATATTAAAGATATACTTGTTCCAAGCCACCTAAGCGCCCTATCTACCAAGCCCACTTGGTTAAAACCATCAGTATTTGGAACTTATCAGTGTGGAAGATGCAAATCATGTAAATTCATCCTACGTCCATCCAAAAAGATACTGGACTCTACGAATACACATGAGTTTGACATCAAGACATTCTTCAATTGTCAAACCACAGGTCTAGTGTATCTGTTAACCTGCTCATGCAAAAAAATGTAAGTGGGGAAGATGATCCGTGCATTTAAACAGAGGATCCGAGAACATATTACATCTGTTAACCCTAGGAGACTAGTTGATACTCCTATTTCAAAACATCTAAAACTCCATCATGGAGGGTCCGGAGAAAACATAAGTTTCAGTGGTATCGAAAAAGTTACACTTGGCCCGCGGGGAGGAGATCTTGACAGAAAACTCCTACAAAGAGAGAGTATCTGGATTTATAGATTAAAAACTCTCTCCCCTATGGGCCTTAATGAAGGGTTTTCATTTACACCCTTTATCCCTGATTAACATCTTTAATTAGAAATCTGGCTATCCTACATGATCCATTACTGTTTACATAATATTGGTTTCTCACATTACTTTTATGATACTTCCTTTAACTAATGGTGTTTTTTTCTTACTTCTAATATATCACTGTTTATTTATTTATGCTTTTGTTTGATCCTGCTCATTGGTAACATTTAGAGCACAATACCCCTCTAGACTATAGGGACTCCACTTGACATTTAATTATACATTTGATGTTTGAGCTCTTGTACTTGAATTTGGAATACTGTAATATATGCTCATTTCTGTATGGTCTATTAAGTTATATGGTAAAATATTAAGGACAAAGTATTGACATACAGTCACTATATACTGATCAATGTATCTTAATATTCAAGTACTTGTGGCCCTCTATATATATGTATCTTCATATGTATCCTTTCATATACCAACTTGATGAATTGCTAGAAATAAGTGTACATAATCAACCTTTACAGATGTGTGTGTCTGTATGACATCTTTTTAGATCTCTCTTATATACACAGTGATATGATATGTACTATTGTTTTCATATCAAAACATCTGTATTTAGATCTTCTATAGTATAACATACTAAGGTTTATGATACATACCTAGGTATTCTATATGGACATGGTACCATTATTTGTAGATCTATATATATATAGTTTTGTGGATCCACCATATGGCTCTATTTTTATAGATCCTTAAAAGGAGTTGTTAAGAATTCATGTTGGTTACATATATATATATATATATATATATATATATATATATATATATGGGTTTACATCTATTTCCAATAGACTTATAATACACTCATCAGTTCTTTTAGCCTCCTTTTAACATTCAATATGCTATAACACAGTTTCTCCATTTACGGAGGAAAGTGGGAGGAGTCTATGCTAATAGAGAAGCTATGTCCGTCCCACTCCTTCCGATGGAGTTAATTAGCGTGTGCAAGCACGGGAAATAGTTGGCCCCGCCCCTTGCTATGTGGAGGACTCCCATTGGATTAGAGACCCTTTGAATGAGGTATTTCAAGCCCATATCGAGCAGTTTCAGACTTTCCTCTGACGAAGGTGCTAGTAAGAGCACTGAAACGCGCGTCAGGCGTTTTCACTGTCCGTTTTTTCGGACATCACTGGTTTGCTCACATATCTCACTATATGGCACTGTAAGGTTTTATTGACACCTAGTGTATCAATAGATAGACTCACTAATATGTATATATTTTTTGTTCTACCACTATTCGAGCTTGATAAACATATGTAAGCTAGGGTACTGGATACTATGTTGCTATTTTGATGGTTACACAGTCTGTTACATAGTCTGCTAAGCAACTTTCTGCTATTTTCCCTCTACATATTCATTTTCATTCTTCTTGCTCTGTCTAATAGATATGCCGTGGGCACTCTAAGCTCCACGATATCTATATCCTCCTACTACCTGTATGTATTTATATTCTGGATATTATTACATCAGTCCATACTATATACCTGGTTTGGGATTTCCCTCCATAGGTATTTTATATTATTGTTTAGAGGATTTTTCTAGTGGTAACTTTTGTTTATTGTATCCCTCTATCCCTTTTCTTGTCAGTTACTTGATATTTTAGAGGACATATTAGAGCAAGATTTATTAAAGCTCATTTTTGATGTTCTACTTTGGTCTATATATATGTATACTACATATTAGGGATACGGGATACTATTAGTCTATCTATATTTTAGTTGTATCATCACAAGGAGATTTATATATATATATTTTTTTTTTATTCATCTATATTTGTCTGTGAGACTACTTTATTTTGCTCCAGATTCATACAGTTGGATACACCTGCTTTTTGCAGCTGTTTTTCTCTGTACGTTTCATCCCTTTTTTTTCTATATACAATTTTGGGGTTAGGCCCCTGGAGACCCTTGGAGCCTCCATTAGGTATCAGGTGGGTTTACCTATACCGGTAGTGCCAATTTCTGTAGGCACTAAATGGTAGTGGTTTACCTACCTTATTTGTTTTTTGTCCAATAGCTAAGAGGTACTTAAACAATCCAAGTAACAGATGGAGCGATAAAAGGAACCATAACAGATTTAACAGATTTAACAAGCCATTCGCAGTTTTACAGTCAGGAGGGGACTGGGACCCAGTATGGTTGATGTTGAGGTTAAGAGTCACAATGTGGAATGGATTAGCAGGGTCTGGTGCAGGGTAACCGCAAGCCCCCTGGTGTTGAGCTCCAGCGTTTGTGCAGACACATACCAGGACCCTGATGCAGCTTCAGTAAAAAGAGTACTGGATACCAGAAGCCATCCACAACTCACCGCCTCATGAGCATAGGCGTGCGCACGGGGTGTGCCGGGTGTGCCTGGGCACACCCTAATCCCCGTGCACGCCTATGTATATTGAGACCGGCAGGGGAGATCTCAGGATCTCCCCTGTCGGCTCATGCAGAGCCGGTGCTATCCGAGCGCCGGCTCTGCTCTCAGCCTCCATCCCCACTGACCCACATGCAGGGAGGGAGGAAGGAGAGGACCCGGCGGAGCTATTGCCGGCAGCTCCGCCGGGTTCCTCTCGCGAGATATGAGCGTTGCCACGGCAACGCTCAAATCTCGCGAGAGTGAACTCTAGCCCCACAGGGGCTAGACTTCACTCTCCACTGGACCACCAGGGAAGGAATCAGCAGCACGATCCCCCCTCCCTGCAAAAGGTAAGAAGGGAGGGGGAATAGCAAGTTATGTACCCCCACCTCCACCCCCCACAATCACCCACACACATACAGCACACACACATTCAGCACCCACAGACATACACAGCACCCACACACATACACAGCACCCACACACATACAGCACCCACACACATACACAGCACCCACACACATACACAGCACCCACACACATACAGCACCCACAGACATACACAGCACCCACAGACATACAGCACCCACAGACATACAGCACCCAGACATTCAGCACCCACACACATTCAGCACCCACAGACATTCAGCACCACACACATACAGCACCCACAGACATACACAGCACCCACACACATACAGCACCCACAGACATACACAGCACCCACACACACACAGCACCACACACATACAGCACCCACAGCACACACATACAGCACCACACACATACAGCACCCACACACATACAGCACCCACACACATACACAGCACCTACAGACATACACAGCACCCACAGACATACACAGCACCCACAGACATACAGCACCCACACAGCACCCATACACATACAGCACCCACAGACATACACAGCACCCACAGACATACAGCACCCACAGACATTCAGCACCCACAGACATTCAGCACCCACACACATTCAGCACCCACACACATTCAGAACCCACACACATTCAGAACCCACAGACATACAGCACCCACAGACATACACAGCACCCACACACATACAGCACCCACACACATACAGCACCCATACACAGCACCCACAGACATACACAGCACCCACACACATACAGCACCCACAGACACAGCACCCACAGAGATACACAGCACCCACAGACATACACAGCACCAACACACATACAGCACCCACACACACATACAGCACCCTCACAAACACACACAGCACCCTCACACACAGCACACAAACAGCACCCTCACACACACACAGCACACTAACAGTACCCTCACAAACACAACCCTAACAAACACACACACAGCACACTACCAGTACCCTCACACACAAACAGCACCCTCACACACAGTACATTAACAGCACCCTCACAAGCGCACACACACACACACAAACTGCACCCTCACACACAGTACATTAACAGCATCCTCACAAGCACGCACACACAAACACCCTCACCCACATAGCACACTACCAGCATCGTCACACACACATCACACTAACAGCACCCTCACACAGCAGTGTGTGTATGTGTGTATATATGTGTATATATATATATATATATATATGCGGCGCGTGCTTGTGCTTTAGGGTGCACACCCTAATGCAATAGGCTGTGCACGCCTATGCTCATGAGACTGTGCAAGCTGTTTAGCTGCAGCATGCACTGGTCAGTGGCTCTGCACCAGACTTCCCTCCAATTGATCAGAGTTAAAAGATTTCAAGTGGACTCATTACAATTACAGGGCCTCTAAAGAATCCTGCATTGTTATTTGTCGTCACTACCTTCCCGTGTCGGGAGTGGGTCATTCGCCCGCCTGCTGCCTTCCTTGCATGTGGTAGCCGTTTCTCAGGGTCCCTGTATGGAATGGAACCCTGATTCCCCGTTACCCATGGTCACCATGGTAGGCGGAGAAACTGGCATCAAAAGTTGATATGGATGACATCCGAATGCAAAGTCGCCATCACGGGGATGTGCGATTGGCCCGAGGTTCTCTAGAGTCAACAAAAAAAGACAACTCTGTTCTGCAGAGTAGCCTGCGCAACTATAATGTCAACAGCTACTTTGCAGAACAGAGTTGCCTTGTTTATATGTCCCAATATTTTGGGGGCTACCCCAATTAAAAATATATATATATATATAAAACACAGTGTTGGCTACCTCCTCCTCCACCGCCACGGTCACCGCCTCCTCAACCTATGGGTCACTTAGTATAAACTATGTACACAATAGCAGAGGCTTGTGAAGGCCTTTTCTCCATGCATCAGGAGTTGAGCATTTCTCCATGCATCAGGACTGCAAGAAATGCACCGCAGGCCGCAAATGTTTCTTTTTTTGTATGTCCCAATATTTTGGGGGCAACCCCAGTTTAAAAAAACAGAAAACAAAAAACAGTGTTGGCTACCTCATCCTCCTCCTCCACCGCCGCTTCCACCGACACCACCACGGTCACCGCCTCCTCAACCTATGCGTCACTTAGTATAAACTATGTACACAATAGCAGAGGCTTGTGAAGGCCTTTTCTCCATGCATCAGGAGTTAAGCTCAGTTTGAACAATGGAAGAGAATACCCTGCACTCCAACCCTCTCTCAAATGGATAATTCTGCTGATCCTCCTGACAGCCATGGTTTAGATTTTGATTTATGTTCTTCCAAAGCTAAAATCAAAGATTCCATCTAGTGCTATTTTATGACTCATCTGTATTTTTAATTTTTATGTTATTTTAAGTGATTTCACTATTCACATTTGTTTGCAGGGCACATGTCCTACTCTTACCCCCATTTTACTTCCTTTTGCAGCTCTCTAGCCCTTCCCAGGAGTTTTTTAGAGGCATTTTTGTGGCCAAAAGTTCGGGTCCCCATTGACTTCAATGTCCTTTAGAGGCATTTTTGTGGCCAAAAGTTCAGATCCCCATTGACTCGAACTTGACCCCGAACCCGGACTTTTTTTCAAAGTTCGGCCAAACTCGCCGGACCCAAACAACCAGGTGTCCGCTCAACTCTAGTGTTTACCTCTGTGTATTGAGATTGCAAAATAACCTTTTTAAAAATGTTTATTTAACTTGGTTTAACCATTGTGCCCATCTTTGTGTCATAGTTATACATATGTTTAAGGAAATCTCACAGTCTGAGGTCAGGATGGCCATAGCTCCTTGGACCAAAATTCGTCCTCTAGAGCACAAGGTGTTTGTAGATATATAAATATTTTGAACATTGTTTTTACTCAGACTTAGAACTTAAGTCCTAATGTAAAGCTCAAGATCACTGAACGTTCTACTGAACGTTCTACTTTTATGTTCACTCTATAACGGGACGTTTTCAAATCTCAGTTATAATTTATAAAAGGTACCTAGGTAAGTACAGAATAGTGTGCATACTACAAACGCATTTTGAGAAATGAACAATTGTAATATACACGTAACAAATAATAAGAAATAACACTATTTTACCCAAATACATAATCTATAGTCGAATATATAATATATAAATATAGATTTTTTTACCGCTCCTCCTTTTTCACCCTTTATTTTTAGCTCATCCCTTATACTGGTAATTGAATACAAATTTAGTGACTGTTTCACAGCCATTTTTGTTTGCTATAAAACATCACTTTACTTGTGGCCCCGGATGTAATTCTGAATCACAAATCAAAAGTAAAATGTTAAGCCATGACGTGGTTAGTTTGGTTTGTGTTTCAGCTTCATTGCGACTTGAAGGTCAAGAATTTGGCTGATCCCCTGATCAGTTCAATTTAATTATTATGAGACTGAATTTAAAATTGACTTTGATTTCACAACAATTTAATCCTGTAGGGATCCCCTGGTCACCGCACCCTACCTCACCCTTCTGATATATTGGAAATAAGAGATATGAGAAATAAAATAAAGGCATTGATGAAAAAATACATGGCTCCTAAGCTGAACTGTAGAAACGTTTATCAGTAGGAGGAGAAACATGGAAATGCCATTATATCAAGAAACAGTAACACGGAATACTTAACTCGGAACTGTGTGTTCTATTACCTTTCAGTGAGGCCTGGCATAATATAAGCCAATTATTCTTGCATATAACAGAGCATATTTGAAAATTGATTAGGATGTTGATGGAACAATAAAAAAGAGAAATGCTCTGGGTTCATTAAATGGCTTATGTATTCCTCAGAATCTCAATCGTATAATATAATCAAAATAACAAGGGATGTAATGATTTTCATAAATCTGTGAGATTCATTATTATTTGTGTGCTAATTTCCTGTGTCCAGTGTTGTAAGATTTTTGACAAACAATTTATAATTAATGTTTGAAACTTTTATTGTATTCATACATTAGATCATTGAGTCATCCTCCCCCAAAATTATTTTTTTTGCAATCTCCTCTGGGTGCAGAAGATAAAGAGAGGACAGAGCAAAAAGAGACAGATTGGATCTAGCACAGGACTGAAAGAAATGGGAATTGGGGGCACACAGGGCCGGACTGGCCCACCGGGATACCAGGAAATTTCCCGGTGGGCTGCGGCACCTTGGGGGGCTGCATGTGGAGAGGGAGCCCTGCTCCACATATTTTAATAATATTGGGGCCGCATGTTGGGGCCGCCAGGTGGCCGGTCCGGCGGCACACTCTGAGGTGATTACTCACCATGCGGCCAGCGGCCCCATCTCCTGTGCTGACAGCTATGCTGCTGTCAGCATCAGTGAGTGTGCCAGGCGGCCGCCTAAGCGATCCGGCGGCACACTCATTGATACTGACAGCAGCATAGCTGTCAGCACAGGAGGACTGAGGGAGGGGGCGGAGCTAACTACCATGCTCCCTCGCAGTTCCCATAATTCCCAGCATCTACACATCATAGAGTAATCACTACTCTATGATGTGTCCATGCTGGGAATTATGCAGTTCCCATAATTCCCAGCATCTACACATCATAGAGTAATCACTACTCTATGATGTGTCCATGCTGGGAATTATGGGAACCGCGAGGGAGCATGGTAGTTAGCTCTGCCCCCTCCCTCAGTCCTCCTGTAACAAGGTCAGAAGGGACACAGAAGGGGAAGGGGAAGGTGGGGGAAAAAATAGAAGGGAAGGGGGGCACAGAGACTGAGGGGTAATAGAAAGACACCAGGTTGGGGGGGAACAAAGAGACAGAGGGCAAGGGGGGACACATAGACAGATGGGGTAATAGAGAGACACCATGGAAGGGAGGACAAAGAGACATAGGGGTAACAGAGAGACATAGGGGTTGGGGGACAAAGAGAGGGGTAATGGAGAGACACAGGAGAAGGGGGGACTCAGAGACAGATGGGGTAATAGAGAGACACAGGGGATGTGGGTACAAAGAGACAGAGGGGTAAGAGAAAGACACAGGGAGGAGATGGGGAAGAGAGACACAGAGAGGAGATGGGGAAGAGAGACACACAGAAGGTTTGTTGGGGGGACAAAGAGACATACAGTAGGGAAGGGGAACAAAGTGACACAAGATTTGTGGGAGGCAACGCTGGGCTGGGGAAAAAGAGACAGAGAGTAGCTGGGAATAGAGAAAGAGGCACACAGAGTCTGGAGTTAGAAAGAGACACACAGATGAGATTTATAAAAACTGCAATAATTACACTTGCAGGGTTAAGAGTGATGGGAGTTGACACCCAGACTAATTCAATGAGCAGAAGTGGTCTGGGTGCCTGGAGTGTCCCTTTAACTGTATTTTGTCTAGCACAGGTCAGTGCAGATTAAAAAGGAGTAAATGAGTCAGGAAGGCTTAAATAGTGAGACAAAACTTTTCCAAACTGGTGAAAATTGTGCTCTACAGGTATGAAAGATCAAATGTAATGTTTAATGCCTGGAATGCTCAGCGAAATAAACATCAAAAAATAACATATATGCAAATAACACAAAAAATGTCACACACACAGGACAAAGAATGCTTTAATGTAACAAACAGTATTACAAAAATGATCATCGTGATCGACATTTCTTTTATTTAAAAAAAAATAAAATATATATATATATATATATATATATATAAATGAAAAAATTGTCTTGCACTCCAACTTACTGGTGTTGTTGCCCGGTGCTTGTCAGCACCAATATAACAAAGTAGCATAGAGATAGCACTCCCAGGACTCCAAAGGTTTTCAAGGTAAAAATTTACTTTTATTTTCCACAGTTAAGAGACTTGAGTTTCAGTTTGAAACCCAAACTTTCATCAAGATAAAATAACATCATAAAAGACAATCTTATATACCCAACACCAATATACCCTTATCCAATAAGTGAGGGGACATTGACTGAGAACGCCATGGTCGGAGACTGCACGAATTACTGATTGACCTTGATGACGTCACCTCTTTCTGTACGCCATAACGTCATCCAAAGTCATCACCATAGAGAACGGATGCCAAGTCCATTTTGTGTTTCTAAACACCAGGAAACTAGGGCTACCATGGCAACAATCTAAACAACAGTGGGAATTCGTCCCTACTAAATGTTGAGAGTCTCAAAGCGTTCCCCAATTAAAAACAAATACTAAAACTGCGTGAGCTAAATCAGCAAAAACAGATAAAGAATATATACAGTCTATGCAATACATATATACACATCATCAATTTAAGTAGTACCCATCCAGCTATTAAGAACACAAAATACTGCTGGTATAATACTTCTGTATGCAAGAAAAAAAAAAGAAAAATACTAAAATAATGAAGGAATTAAATGCCTACACAGAGGTAGATGTGACCACAAAAAGCTTGTATTAAGGAGGCGCTGAAGCCTAAGACCGAATGTTCACCAAAATAAAGGGCACAACCAATATACCAAACCGTGATATGCATGGCACACGGGACGTATAATGTACACAGTACCTTAGAGTAAGACTAACTATCGGTGCAGACAAATTAAGAGTCCCGCGCCAGTGGCTACAAAGTCAAAACACAGATTTTCACCAAATGGAGGGGCACATCTGAGATAACATTCCATGGTGTGCAAGGCACAAAAAATAGACTAAATACTAAATATCGGTGTGAACACTTGATATACCAAGTGGAACTGACAAATTCAAAATATGAATAAAAAAACCCCACTAACCCCATAAATAATAATGAGTAACAAAAAATAAACAATGCAAATAATAAGGAGCAAAAAATGGGGCAAACCTAAGAAAGAAATATCTGAATATAGAACACCCAAAGTAACTCAATC